ATCTAATCGAATAGGTGGATTGCAATCGATAGAGAGCATAGAAGAACTACTCGTTAGCGTTAATATCATAGACATGACTGATATTATGTCAGTATGACATATCCTTAAATAATGATTGGAACAACAACAACATTTTGAATGAAAATCATTCATTTCTACAATAATAACATTCCATTTGTGAGCTCACAGGACCATAATACATTGCTTTTTGTAGCGATGACGCAGCTGATGTAGGTGGCGATACCTCATGTCGGTAATGGATGGAACATGGTAAACGAATATGCAAAGCAAATCGATGTTGGTAGTCCTTTGGTAATCTATGCCAGACATCCAATAATTCCCAAAGTTCAGCTTTCTCAATCAAATAGTCGATCGATAAAGTTTTCAATTCAGCATCGATTAAATCTCGCAAAGATCCATCTCCAACCATTTTTGCAGACATTATGGAGCAGAAAGTATAGGCACAAATGTCCGCAATTACTCTGGTCAAAATTTTGATACTGATCATTGTTATATGTAATCGTTATACCCCTTCCAAAATATCTTAAAAATTCCATTGGAGGTTGGAGATTACCGAAACATCAAAATTGTGTACAGCATTGCCGTTTTTAATATAAGCTACCCAATAAGTGCCTGCATTCAATTGAGAATCCAAGTTCAATACAGCACATTCTCGCAGCCAAGGACCACGAGTTGGCAACGTGTCACGCATGAAGACTCCACGAAAATGTGGAATTCACAGTTGACCAGCACATTTTTTAATTTCCGAATCATATAATGTTCTATGGGGTAGCTTCAGTAGGAGTTTTTTTTTACTTTCTCAAGTAAAGAACTCACCCTTTGCGTTGCTGTTGTTTCTTTAGAAACAAACCAAATCCTGGAGGTGTTTTGCGTAGGTAGAAACTGGAACCTAAATGTTCCATAGCTTTATTGTGACGTTGATCTTCTTCAAGTTTCTTTTTGACATTTTTAGCATCTATTACGGTTTTTGCGATAGCGCCTGCTCCACCTGCCAACGAACCCAAAGCTGAAAGGGCAGCGAATATAGGTATGAGTGATAGGATTCCTCCGGATTCTGCTTCGAATGGGATTATCCTAGATATCCGTATGTTTTAACGTCCTCCAGCTTGTCTCAATGCCATTTTAGCAGCTCGCAAAGCCGAAGCACTAGATTTCTTAATATTGGTAGGATATGGCTTTCAATTTTTAGTAATTTTTTTAAGCATATTACGTTGAAAGGGCAACCTCATGCCGAGCTTACGTTTCACTTTCATTGTTGTAGTTACGAGCCAAGCTGCAGCTTTTTCACCAAATCTAGCGACTTTCGATTTAACGCGTTCCAAGCTCTATTTTCCAACACTTGATCTGCTTCATGACGGTCTTCTAAGGATTCGCTTTGAGAGTACGCAATATCGTGATCTTTACAATATTCGTCCAAAGGATTTACACCGGTGTCACCGCGTTCCAATCTCTTTTTCAATTTGGTGCCTGGTTCGCAAAACTAATAACCAGGTAGATGTAATTCAAACGGGAGCTTATTGATGAGCGAATTGACGACACCTGCACCGGACTAAGTCAACATTGAGAATGATTGGGTGATGACTGTGATTTTTTTTTCATAACCATAGCACACTCATTGTCCAACATCACATCATGGCAGTCGTTCAACAAGACAAGACATTACCTATTGAAAATTTAGACTTTTTGAATGAAGCCAACGATAGTAGTGTGATTGGAAAGCACGGTATATTATTTCCCAATTCTTTTCGTGCAATAATTTGTGGGCCGAGTGGTTGTGGAAAAACAAACGCTATCTCAACATTACTTTTCCATCCGAATGACGCCAAATTTGAAAATATCTACGGATATTCAAAATCATTGTATCAACCTAAATATCAAGTGGTTCAAGAAATTTTCAGTTCCCAAGGGGTAGGGATATTATCCATTCAGGGAAAATGAGGATATCATAAGCCCTCACGAAGCCAAATCAAATTCCATTTTTATTTTCGATGATGGCCAACAGAAGTTTTAGAAAAATATATCGATCAATATCCGATAATGTCTCAACCGTACATGAAAAAACATTGGGGAAATGACAAGGAAATCGACAAAGTATATGGTCCCATATGTGATGGGGTATCTTCAAAATGGTTTCTAGGCCAAAAGGAAATCGATTTTGACAAGCGTAGCGGATACATAAAATTGACTAGGTATCACTGGAAAGGAACACACGGTATATATGAACTGTTATTTCTCGACATGCCTGAAAATTATAATGCTAAGTATTTGAATGTATACAAAAAGATTCTGGATTTATCGAGCGCTCACAAGAATTCCGCTGAGCATCTAAAAGGCACTCAGAGATACAAGTACACCAACATAATCAAACCGTTGTTTCCTACATCAGGAAATCGTCGAAAAACTGGTACTGAGTTTTTTCAACCTACTACTACTACTACTACTGCGATGACATCATGTCTACCCAAAACGTCACCTCTTGCAATGACATTCAATACGAAACCCATTGAATACATTTATTGGGACGATCCCAACGAGCTGTGCGAACGTCTCAAATTATTGCTAACCTCTCGAGATGCAGGAAATACTTCACACAACAATGAAATCATTGCCATTTTGAATGAACTCAAAGAGGCAAAAATAATTCTATAAGATACACTACGTTCCCCAATACATTATCATTTTCAAAATGGTTATCGATAAGTTTGGTCGTAGCGACAGCAACAGAAAGCGAAAATTGCCAACGCCCTCTGGAGGATGTTTGTTGTATTATACCTCAGATGATAATATTCATTGTGGTGATGTGAAATTGTGTCATGTGAAGAGCCCCACCACTGATTATGATGTTGCTAATAAAAAATATGTGGATGGAACCACAGCTTCTATGGCTGAAAGTACCATTAGTCTGAATGGCACCTACAAATGTTTGAATGTCTTGCCTGAAATCACAAAATCCTACAATGATACGCGACACTCGAAGACGGGTATACAACTTTCAAAAATCACCAAAACCAACGAAAAGCAAATTCTCAAATCAACATACACCCATCTGAAAATAACTGGACCGGGAAAATTCAAAATCGGTGATGTTGTACGAATCAGTAAGGCGAAACACGTTTTCGAAAAAGGCTATACGCCCAATTGGACTACGGAATTATTCAAAATTATCAAAGTCAACATTACCAACCCCGCCACCTTCATGCTAGAAGATATGCAGGGTGCACCTCTTAGGGGTGCTTTCTATGGGAAAGAATTACAAAAAACTGCAAATCCTAATATGCATCTCGTGGAAAAAGTATTGAGGAAGAAAGATAAAAAAATATACATTAAATGGCTGGGTTTGGATAACAAACACAACAGTTGGATCGAAAATGTCGATTTTGTATAGAATCTTATGGAAAACAAGCACACTGACAATGTATAGGGAGGGCCTTTTGTGAAGAAATATTTGTATATTTAACAAACACACAATATCTGATATGGACCACGTGATCTGAAGCTATAAGAGCGCATGCAAACACAGATGGATATTCAGTTTGAGAACGAAAATGTCTCTCGATAGTGGTTACGGTAGTGAAGTTTAAGTAATGTTCGACAGTGATGGTGAAGATTATAATGGAACTCTGAGTGCAATAGAGAGAGCGTTGGAGCAATACGAAATGGCCGCTAGAAACGAACATGAATTGCTGTTGATGGCATTCCCCATGTCATCTTATAAAATTCGATGTGGCCTAAGTCCAATCAGAGATTTCAGCCTATTCATAATTTTGAAGCAGCAGTTCTCCATTCGTTCCATCAATTCAACAAGTTATAAATGGGCGACCCTCATTGACATCCTGCAACAAATAAAGGAAAATTTATTTGAATCACAAATCGATGAATACGTAGACGAATATGATCCAATTACAACACGTTGCGTGGATTACATTTACGTCACACAGTACATCGAAAGAAATACCAAACAAGTTTCAATTTCCAAGGACACCACGAACATGGAGCTGTTTTGACGAGATGTAAACAAAATCCTGAATAGTCACCTTGGTGTGCTATCTGACCGTATCGCTATGCTGGATGCTTTGAACTTTTGTGATCATTATCGAGGTGTTTTCAATATAATACAATCATAGTTACGTGAAAATAAAACTAATTTAACTTTGGGAGAAATCATAGAAGATTTATGTCAAGCCTCAGCTTTAGATAGTCTGTATGCTATGCTTTACGTGAACATTTATTTTATTATTAACCTAGGAATTTTTTTATTCACAAGTGGAATTTGAAACTAATTATCGGGCGAATAATCGGAAGTATCAAATTTAAATAGGTTCTTTTTAATGAGTTCTGGATAGACATCTTCACACGTCATTTCGTAGATGAAGCTATCTGTATCTGTATACATTCACTTGCAATTTTCTATACCTAGAGTGGGCACCATGAAATTGTAATGGAAATCAAACATGCATGTTTTTGAAATATCTAATATTGCCATTTCGATGTACAGAGGTTTATTGAAAACAAGTTCAGTCTTTCTCAATTCAATAGCCACCAAGTCTGTATCGAAAACGGTTCGACTCTGAAATCGGGGGCTGGCAATTTAATTTTTGGCACCATAACAACCGTTCCGGGAATTTACAATTTTGACCACCCTGTGTAGCCAAATGTTTTCCATTGTTTTTCCCAAAAATAGCATTTACCATTAGTTTATATAAATTTTTGCCAAACAAACTGGTGGCTGCAGCCCGTAGACGAGTATTCAACTCAATGTAGGGACGCAGCCGTGCAGATTGTTTCAATTTCAACAACCCGATAATTTTGGTTAGAATCAAACAGTTTTTCAATGCTTGTTTCAAGTTACGATAATGCAAAATATATTTATCTTTATTATACAGGGTACCCATTAACTTTTTTGTTTGGGATTTGGTGGTGTTTGATGCTCTGGACAGAACGGAAAATCTTTATGTGAATCATGTAATCTTAAAACTTACGATATGTAGCCTTCTGAAGCATTGTCAGGAATTTCAGTTACATCTTTATCGAAATTGGGGGTGATAATCCTCCGTCACTCGGTGTGTTGAAAAATTGTGTTGTTGTTAATTGGTTTCCTCTCCACGACTGAACTCGAATTTTTGGAAATCCACCTGCGAGAAACCAAAATAAAAAAAGTTAATGTTTCAAATTATACGAACACTCTCTCAACAAACGACAACATGAATAATAGTTATTCGTACCTCACTAAGCGTTTTATTCAACTAGAAAGCTGGTCATAAAATGAGCTTCTGTTTACAACATTATAAATGTGTATATAAAAAAGCTATCGCATTGTCAAAGGCAAATAGAGATAAAATATGAGAAAAACTCTTATTCAGCTTGGATGATTCTCGAGTGAAATTCATAATCACTCCCCGGTTATGAGGCTGCCATCTAATAAAACATCAAAACAAATTGTACCATACAATAATTACTGTAAGAGATAGTATTCCAGAAAAATGGATGTCAGTAATTACCGGTTCTTATCTTTTATTAATTATTAAAGATTGAGAAATATCAGCAATTGTCTCTTCTTATCTTCTGCTGTATGTAGTATAAAAAAAGTAGTTCAGGGTTGGCTTGAGGAATACGTAATTACCTCTAAACGGTTTTGTAATACAAAATAATTGAAAAAAAACGACCACCTCCAAAAAGTATGTATAAAAAACACTCAAGTAAATTAATCTGAGAAAAATTTTGGAAAATTGATAATTATTCAACAATAACTCTTTGAAGTAAATTGAATTTGAGTAAATTCATTTGAAAAAAAGTCAAAAACGTATAAAACATCTTGCAATGAAAATTCATAAAGTGGGCATGGAAAACACTTACTTTCAGATAAAATCGTTGCACTTGTCACTGGTATCACTTTCAACTGATACAACTAACTCATCATTTCGCCTCGCAGGAGGTATTTATGGGAAAATAAGTGATGACATATTTCAAAATCAAACAAAGAGCCTTTGTTTCGTTGTTTTGAGAACTGCATATCTCTGGATGCTGATAATTGACAATGATCAATGTCACCTTGGGTAAGAACAGGAAAATAGGTGATGACATATTATGAAATCAAACAAAGAGCCTTTGTTTCGTCACTTTGAGAACTATGTATCTCTGGATGCTGATTCAGCATTGACAGTGATCAATGTCATCCTGGGAGTGAATAGAAAAATAGGTGATTCTGAAACGAACAAAGAAAATCAAAGAGTCTTTGTTTAGTCGTTTTGAGGAGTATTGCCGGATGCCTATTCAGCATTGGCATTGATCCATGTCATCTTGGATATGAATATAGAAGGTCTCAATAAATATGTGAACCGTTGCTGTCTAGCTTACCTCATCTCAATACCAAATTATTATAAAGCCACGTGTCTGGCTTTATCGATAAATGATAGCGATAATTCAGCATACCTATATTATATATTTTCACCAACTTGAAATAAAACAAAAAAATTACCGTTTCAATCAAAATATCCATTTTCTTTTAATTAAATTTCACAATTGTTGTACAACTCTAATCAAAATACTAAACACTAAAGTTTCTCTCTGAAAGATTTACCAGCGACGCACGACCTTGAATTGCGCCAGATGAACAAGGTGGGTGCCTTATTCATCCACTAACTTCCTTCTTGCAAAACCTAAATGTGGATGGAGCCAGAAAGTACTTTGAGTTCATAACAAACGACATAAAGGACAGCCCTTCAAGGTTCTCTTCAGTCACAAGGAGCCATATCTGGCAAATATGGAGACTCGAGCATCATTGCAGTATTGTTTTCAACCAAAAATTCACGAGCGAGCAATGAAGCGTGAGCAGGTGCATCACCGTAGTGCAAAATCAATGAATTGTTGTTGAACTTGTAGAAAATACTCTTTAATAACCAATAAAATCGATGAACACAATGAACATAAATCTTTGAAGGGTCCAAATTTTGTCTGTAAAAGAACTTGATTGAACAAATACAATTTTAGTACTTCCTTTTTTCAGGACGGCTGACGCCTCTTTTGGAAATGTATGTATTTCATTTGGAAAATGTCAAAATTTCAATAGAGGTGTATTCGAAAGTAATTTTGCAGGTTTTAAAAACGGAAAGTCGTTTCGGAAATGCTATTTATTAAAAATTTAATTTTTTCAATCATTAAATTTATTTTGAGGTAAAATTTGAAAATTCGTCAATGAATGATTGAAATGACTCTTCAAAGGTTTATGTCATGCAGTAACTGTTCATGTTGAACTTTTCAGTTTATGACACTTGAACAGATTCTCTGTTGATATATATTTATTTATTTTCCAGATCGTGTAACGTCGAAAAACATCAAAAAACCCTGGAATATTTTTGGTATATATTTTTGAATCAAGAATACTGCTTTTGAACATTCAGTCTCTCAGACATAAAGCAAACGAATCATTTTCCTTCTTGCTACAAGTATACTCTCCTGATATCGTCCTTCTAACTGAACACTGGCTCAGAGCTAATGAATTGTTTTATATACCGAATTATGAAAATCATTCGAGACAATCGATAAATTTGATAAACAAGTATCTGAAAAGTGTTTTGAATTGTCGATGGTGTTTTCCAAAAGACTAAATCTATACTTTCTGTGTCTTTATCATTCGCTTTTATTTTGTGTGACAGAATTCTTAAATAGGCTCGAAACAATTTTATGTGATTAACGTAATCGGTCAAAAAGTATTCTAATAGAAGACTTCAATATCAATTTTAGTGAAAATAATAATATTTCACAATAAGACTGAAAAATCTTATTGATTCCTTCAATATTTGTGTACATATGCATGTCCACAGGGATCAGTTTTGGGACCAGTAGGTACTTTTTTGTTATACTTGAATGATCTGGCCCTCCTCAATGTTCAAGGCAAGTTCACCCTTTTTGATGATGATACTACCATCTTAGGCACCAAAAAGAATCTTCAACTTGTAGGAAATAATCCAGGCTGACCAAGTGAAGATAAAGGAATGGTGCGACTGTAATTCACTCGCCTTGAATATCAATAAGACCAAATACTCACGTTCAAGTATGACATGACAGGTATAACTTCTTCATGACCCATTAGAACGTGAACACCTTACAAAATTTCTTGGGTTAATTAACAACGAGCTGAAATTTGATGATCACATTTTGGTTTTTAGTAAAAAACTGGCCTCGAGGTGTTATGTCGTGAAAATGGCTACAAACAAGATTGGTTCAGAAACAGCTGAAACGGTGTATCTCACCTCAGATACGGTATTGCTTTCTGGGGCACGTGCAGCCAATAGAGGTTCAATAGCATTTTAATCTTACACAAGAGAGCATTACGATATATATGTAAGGTATCTCCCAAACATTCATGCAGGCTGCTTTTCGTCTCTCAGAGATTACTCACTCTAACCTTATTTACTAGTACTAGAAAGCCAGTGCTTAGTGTTCGAAAATCGCGAAAACTTATATAATCCCCAGTTATATCACAGAACACGTAGGACATATAACCTCAATCTACCTCTACCTATACCTTCCTCGAACCTAACCTGAAAATCAATTATATACGAAGGTATATAAAAATATATAACCACCTACTTTTACGCCTGAAGACTATTAAATCTTTCAAAAAATTTGGAAAGTCTGTTAAAGAACCGCTCCGCTGACGGAGCTTACTATAATTCGGAGGAGTACTATTTTGAGACGTGGTAGAGTATGTCTGTACTACTTTATTTCGTTTATTTATATGACTCGAGTTCATAGATTGAGTCAAACTTGTTTATTTTACACTTATTTTTGTTTGACTTATATGTTTTTATAGTCTGACAATTTTCAATTGAAGGTAACTCCAATACAAATTGAACCGAGAACTAACGGCAACAATGTTAAATGTTAGAACTAAATTCTTACCGGGGTCATTTTTATTGTCTATGCATCGCCATTGTAAATAATTGAAAAGTAAGATGATTCCATAAAATTTGCCCCCCGTAACAAGATAGCTTCTGCATATCGATAGGATGTACGAGCGAATGGATGAACCAGTTCGTTAAATACTTTGAAACTCGGTAAACTGATCAACACTTCGCAGGTATATTATATTTGCGTCGTTAATATGCCATAACTAGTCATTCGGTTTCTTCATTATCAAGCGTCCTTATCTGCATAGGCGTAGTGTGTTCTGTTTCTTGGGAAGGTGACTTTGTTTTGTATTTATTAAATATATTTTATTATATTTATTAAATAGACTGTTATATTTATTAACTCCAAAATATAATATAGAGTTGGCCCATACTTGTTTTTCAAAATACATTATCATAGATTTTCATCACATTCACACTTTATTGTGAGATAATTAGTTGACCTAGTCATTAAACTCAGGTATAAATGTTCGTTAAACTCAGGTATAACTGTCATTAATTAGTTTCTAGAATATTATTAGTTTCTAGATAGATAGTAATATTTCAAAAGTTTTATATAAATCACAATGTATGTCAAATTCAGTTTGTTAGTGAACACGCTTGTTCTAGTGAAAATCTCACAATAAAATGTTTTTCAAAATACATCAACTTTAAAATAGTTTTTGAGGTAAGTGAACAACTGACAAATAGCTGAATAATGTCATTGAATTTTATTATTTTTATAGTATTAAGATGGATGTCGTAACAGGTCCAAGTAATATACAAAGAAAGCGGAAGTTTATGTCGTTAGAAGAAAAACAGATTGTCTGTAGAGTGTACGAAAATTAAAAAAATACACTCCGTACAAGGGAAGCTGTAGCCCAGTGTTAATTTTCAACGGGAATATCCGTGTTGACAATTGAACGCATTGTACGTGAAAAAAAGGTGATTGGGATTGTGCAAGCTCCAAAAGTACATTGTCGTGGTAGAAAAAAACTGAATTGGACGAGTACCAGAAAAATTTTGTACGCTATACCATTCATTCTTTCTTTTTTGAGAATAAAGCGCCAACCCTCGAATCCATTAGGACAAAGGTAATGGTTAATGATCTCATTCCAAAAATGAGCAAACAGAAGTTAAGGAAAATAATAAAAAAAGATTTGAAATTTACATATACCAAACGATCCCGTAAATCTGTCTTAACAGAAAGAGAAGATATAGTCTCATGGCGACGGAGATATCTTCGCTCTATTAGAGAAATGCGTTCTGCTCACAAAAAGATTTATTATCTGGACGAAACATGGGTGAATGCTGGTCACACAGTATCTAAGATCTGGCAAGATACTACTGTAACTAGTTATCGTCAAGCATTTGTGAACGGTTTATCAACAGGGTTGCGTGAACCAACGAGTGAAGGGCAAAGACTAATTGTCGCCCATATAGGTAGCGAGAGTGGCTTTTTAGACGATAGTGCACTAATTTTTTCATCAAAAAAAACGGGGGATTATCGCGAAAACATGGACGCCCAACGCTTTGAAGGATGGTTTGATTCCCTCCTTTCACGAGTCGAGCCAAATTCGATAATAGTAATGGATAACGCTTCTTATCACAGCCGATCAG